GCTCCTTGGCTGGTTTGGAGCAGGGGGAGCTTCTCAGCTTCCTACCAGAGCCACTTCTGGGGCCCCTTCACCCACTACCAAAAAACCCACCAAACCAAACCAGCACAGGGCAGCGTTCAGAAACTAAGCCCAGCCACCCCCAGCCCCGCTGATAGATGAGGGTTGGCTGGAATGGAAGGGGGCTTAGCTTCTGCCAAATTATTTTAGCTCTTTTGTAACCTGATAGCCACGGAAAACACCAGGTCACCAAACTCTCTCACTTGAAAAATTTTCCTACTTAGTAAGGCAGAGAAGAGGAAATCATAATGGTATTATACTGAGAGTGATAATAAGTCATCAGTTACCTGATGTTTGTTGTCTTCTCTCTCTGTCTTTATTCTGTAAGCTTATGTTGTCCCTTTATTTAAGGTAGTCCCTCAGCTATTGACACATCATGGCTTGTGGTGAAATGGCTAAGAAGAACTCAAAGTCCTTGAGCTACCTGCCAAGACAGAAAATCACTTAATGAGTAATCTTAGCCTGACATTTTGTCAACAATTTTAAAAAATGTAAAACGTGATGAAGCCATTCTACAAGTTGCCTTTTATATAGCCCAGTAGAGTAATAAATTTCAGCAAGTTTGCACACTGGTTTGTGGGGTGGAAGGTTTTTTGCTATTAATTCACCACCAGTGAATGGAGAGTGCTGTATGCTTCATCTGATAAAGGTGTGTCACAGTTTGACTCAAGATGGGCAATTAAACCAGAGACAACAATGCTCTCCTCCTCCTCCCACCCAGGTAAGGAAAGGAGAGAGAACAAGGAGTGAGACTTTCTGGATTGAAAACTAAACTAGACAGCTTTAATTAAACACCAATGATAAAAGAAAATATATACAATTATATACAGGTATGTGCAAAACCCCTGTCACCTCCCCCCACCCCCAGCAGCTCCCAGGTCATCTCCTGAGCAGCAGAGCAGGCAGGAGCTGAGGGGAGAGTTGTGAGGGTCAGGAATGCAAGGAAGGGCCTGGGGATCAATGGTGATGGAGAGATCACCATGGACAGAAGGAAGAAGAAGCTTGATTTCTGTGATCCCTGAATTTATATATGGCATGGAATATCTCTTTGTTTCACCATATTTGCCATCTCTTTAGTCTGCTCCTCCCTAAAAGAGGGACAACTCTTCTGCTCCTTTAGTGTCCAGAGCAGCAGATTTAACAAGCAGAGAAGAGTGTCCTTGTTCTCTCAGCACTAACTATAAACATTCAGGTGTTATCAGTCCACTGGCTGGAAAACTTCCTGCTAGGTTCAGCAAGTGTGCTGCTTAAGAGTTCACTGAAGGGGAAAAAAAAAAATCAGTAAAAAGAAAATTAACTTCATCCTGACTGAAACTGGGACAAGGTGACAAAATGGGGAATCAGACCCTAAGTCTGTGAGATGAGAGGAAAAAAATCCAAGTTTTAGAAACAGGGAGAGAAAAAACTTCATATGCAGTTGATCTCTAACTGACCCCCCCTACTCTTTGTGCTCTTTCAATATGTGAACAGGGCTGGATCACACATTTATTTCACCAGATGTGAGGGCTCTGCTCTGTGCACCTGAAAAGCTGTGATACAGAGCTGAGACAAAGGCCTTGGCCCCTCCTGGGCCTCCTGTTTCCCTGTCACAGCCAGGTGTGTATGAGGGGTTTGCGAGGCAGCTGAGCAGAACTCATGGGTGGCTGGGCATAAGGTGGTGTTACCTGCTATCTCTGTTTCTCTCTGCCTCCTCCATCTGTCTGACCAGCTGTCTTTGTGTCTGCTGCGTATTATCTGCAACAGGTGCAGAAAAAGGTTCTTTTAAAGATACCTTTAAGGTGTGGAAGTGCACTAAAAAGCCTCCAAGCCCGAAGTGAGGGACTGTGCCATCTCTGGGTTTTTACACAGTTGGTGAGGGGATTTGGAGCAGCTGTGCATGTGGGAAGCCACATTTACTCACCTATTTTGTCCAGTCCTGCAGGGTTTTGGCCAGTTTGGGGTAACGCTGGTTTTCTGCACTGCACTGTTCCATACCTCCTCAGACTGTGGGGCAGAATTACGTGAGGTGTCTGCAACTGGGGAATATAAAAGAACTTCCATTTCAAAACAGAAAAGCAAATATCCTCTAAGGTGGGGGTTTTTTTTTAGGCATTTGTAGTAGTGCTGCCATGCACCTGAGCAAGGCAGAAGGTGTATTTAATCTGTATCACCACAGAACGAAGTGGATCTCAGAAACCAGCCCTTCTGAAACACTGGAGAGCACGAGGACGCCGTTCCTCCTGTGCAGGGGGTTGTACTAATTACATCCCTGCGACGTGTTGGCGGGAGCTGGGGACGGCCCCTCTGTCCAGAGACCCTGATCCGGGCAGGCACACGGGTTACCCGCTGTGAAGACTCAAGAACAGAGTTTGCAACCCGATATGCGGGATCCGCGGGGC